CGAAAATTTGAAACTTATACGATTGTGAGAAAAGTTCAGAAACCACACTTACACATACACACGCACGCACACACACACACACACATGCGCGCACGCGCGCGTGTGCACACACACACACACACACCTGTCCTGTTCTGTTGAGCCACTACCACAACTTAGCACAAGGATCGCATCGGCCCCAAAGGGGCAGTAGAGCGAAAGTGAGAGGTGTTGGCTTCGAGTTCACCTATCTCTACGGTGAACGCAACCTCGATCGAAAGTCATGCCAAACGGATTTATCTACCACACGCGCGCGCGTGCGCGTATACAAAACGGAGGAAGGATTACTTACTCTCCCTGTATGATGTTTCTGTTGTATTCGTGAACAATGTCATTGATGTTTTTCCATGCATGTTTTTGAATATGCGAGCATAACTTCCAACATCAAGCACATTCTTGCTTCTCATCAGCATGTACAAGTTTATGTTGGGCAGTTATGTAGCGTTTGTTTTACCGGCTGCGTTTGTTTTACCGGCTGCGTTTGTTGGTGCTTGCAGGTCATTGGCATGCTGTCTGTTTCACAGAAGCTCGTGTAACAGGTTCACCGTACAGCTATGAATGCAATGTAGCGCGTTGAAGCCACTTCGGTATGACGTGATGCCTAATTTCCTGGTTGTACCAAAATTGCGAGTATGCAAGTGATCGTCAAGCCTGCCCCTGTACAGTAGCCGTCTTGCCTTGTTACGCCTGGTTCTGACTCTGCGTTCTCGTTTACTCCATGCAATGTTACAAGGAATACTGCTCCCTTCTCAAGCTATTCATTGGCAACAAAACGCTCGGCTATGCCCTGTAACTTTGCTGTGCGGTTTGTGCTTTGTCAATGTTGTGTACCAGTTCATGATCTGTGCTTGCTGGTCTGTTTGTTTTCTCTCGCACAATTGAGGCGCTGTAGCACAGTGTACAGTGTCGATCATCCTGCCCAGGCTCTGATTTCACGTACCACAGTACGGTTTCTCTTGTTGCTCACTGTAATGTGCATGATACAAGCTCCTTGGTACTCCATCATCACCTGGTGCTGTTGCTGCCATTGTTGGACCCTGCTGATATCCTTCTCGCAATGCCCGAACGTTGTTCCAACAAATGCACAACTCGCTCTTAGTTGTCACATTCGGTTTGGTCTCGTTCCAGTCTTTCGAATTGAGTGAGTGCGTAAACTTGTATGAAGTGGTGGAGCAAAAGCCGTGTGCCGGCAAACATTCAATGTCCGGGTGTAATGACGCACCAAGGTCCCGGGACTTGCGTCCAATTCCTGAGTGATTTTTGTGTGCCTAGCCTCTAGGTATCATACCATATTTGTTTGGTTCAACCGTTTTGGATGCCCACTGCAATACCATTCACTGTATTATGTGTGTATGTTATCCAAGAAATCTCCCATATTTTTGGGTGGACAAACCTCGCCATAAGTCAGTAACCTGGCATTTTGCACTAACAGAACTCCTAGGATATCAGCGCCGTCTCAGTACCTGGGGACAGTTGTAAAGAAAAAGAAAAAATATACTTGGCCCACAATGCCCCACTAAATAATCCGAAGGGTGTCGCGAAGACGACAATTTCCTTACCTTTCTTTCGTGGACGAAAAAAGACACTTCGCTTCGTCCGTTGCGCATGAAACGAAACATGAGGGTAGTGTTTATCAATTAGAATAGGTATCATGCACGAAGGAATGGCGAAAAGGTACTATGCTCGAGCGCTGGTCGTCGTCTTGTTTGTCAATTTTGAGTCCCATTGAGAATTTTCTTCTCCAGACCTCTCAAATTTCCCGCGGTTGCAAATAAAAGTGCAACTTCTAGACGACTTTTTTGAATTTGGCGCACGGACTGTTGCAGCAGGCACTGCCCATGCCCATGGTCGGCTTCGGAAAAAGAGTAGAATAAAGGCGTTGGAGTCTATGTGGATGTCTTGGAAGGAATGGGGGACGGCACAGACGGGTACGTGAATGTGTAAAACCTGAGTATTTTGTATTTTCGTTGAATTGGTTCAAGTTACTTGGCGAGTCCCTTCCACAGTAGAACGCCATCCTTCACAAAATTTGTCTGACTATTTTGTCAAGAATGGCCGTTCTATAATGATCAATCGACTCTGAAGCCAGTGGATTGTGGAGGTCGCCCTTGCATATAAATTGAAATGGTCACGAACGAACGAAAGTATTTTTGATTCGAACATGTACTGGACAACGTGGTTGCATTGTGTCAGTAGAGGGTACTACTGTAGTATCTCACCATTTCTTTATGGTAATCGCTGTCCACCAAGAACTCTCCTATAGTTATTGCCACGGCTTGATCACAGCGGTACACTGAGTTTTTGTTGAGAAATTCCTTCAATTTATTGTCTTATCACTCAGTGCTCGAGCGTTTTATTTAGGATGCATTTTTTAGAGATTGATATTTACCAGTATGTGTTTCACATCACTCCTGACGAGAATAAGCATTTGAAAGCAACACTGGCTGACAGCAATCATGCTCCCCAGGCTCAAGTGTGTGTGTGTGTGTTACAAGGGTGTGCATGGCAATTTGGTAGAGTATGTGTGAACACAAAGTCCACTATATTCACAAACTCGAGTACATCGCAAAATTGTGCCTTCGTATAGTATATGGTGCCTTCATAACTTTGACTAGCCCTAACCTGCTGTTTGACAGGTGTGTCATTGGTGAATGTACATGTATACTGTCTCTCTTCACAACTACGTGCATGTAACACAATATTTACAGTGCACTTGCAGTGTATATAGCTAGATCAATGCACAGTAATCAGTAAATTGTGGCTGCCTTTGTCACATTGTCATATTCACGCGACGTACATTCTAAATCATCGAAAATGCCCAAACCTATTTCTACGTGTGCAGAAGAAGATTGAAAACATTCTTTCCTTGCATCTGCGCCTTGATCCTTGAAGGATGACGGTGTTCCTACGGATGCGGAAAACTCGGCCTCTAGCCGAGTCTGACGCGAACCGTGAATTGTTTTCCTTGACATTGGTGGATGGCATCAGTCACATCTAAGAGTGACACTCTATCTCAAACATATTTACGCAAAGAAGTAGTAATCTTATCTTCATTGGAGCGATGGTCTGCAGGCATGCGATCATGTGTGGGCCTTGTGTGTATGCGCGTGTGTGTTTAGTCACTGTTTACGCGCACGTTTGTGAATGTGCGTGTGTGTGTGTGTGTGTGTGTGTGTGGCCTGGTATGGGGTTGCTCAGGATAGTTCTGCATGGCGGGTGGACGGTACTGTCTTATCTGCCATCGGTCGTTTCGCCAGCCAGGTGACAAACAAGGCACAAATGTGGCGCAGAGCGAAGTCTCCCCATCCAGGATCAGCGTGGTGCTGTGCAGTGTGGTACATGCAGAAGGTGGTTTCACTCTCGTGGTGGCTTGCGTGTGCATCATTGTTTGCCCCTGGAACCATCGAAAGTGTCCGCACCGGCATCATCTATTCCGCTCAGCTTCCAAGCTTCTCTCTTGTGTTTGACATGCAATCGGCAATTCAAGTCAGCGCCTGGTTTCAGACGTCACACGTGCGACCGTGGCCATCGGGCAACCAAGTCTGACAGAGCGTCATAATGGTGTCCGCTGTTCTCGCTGCAGCCGTCAGTTCCGTCGACAGAGTGACCTGAGTCGTCATCTCCGTTTCTGCTCCTGACAATGACTCTGGCTTCTTTCGGAATGGTGTGGCCCGTGGGCAACCATGCTACAGTGGCAGTAGTAGTAGTAGTAGTAGTAGTAGTAGTAGTAGTAGTAGTAGTAGTAGTAGTAGTAGTAGTAGTAGTTGTGTGTGTGTGTGTGTGTGTGTGTGTGTGTGTGTGTGTGTGTGTGTGTGTGTGTGTGTGTGTGTCTGAATAGTGGCGGTCAATTCTTCAGCCTTGCAAGCTGTTGAATGGTGCAATCCCAGCACAAGCTGCTATGGCTTCTGCTGTAGCATTGCTATCATCTACTCCAGCGATGGGCGTCCAATGGTGTGTGTCTGGAGCGCCATCGGGTGGCGTGCTCTTTCTCTCTCTCTCTGCTGCCCCTCCGGGGCCCACGTGACCCTAGTGGTAGTGGCTCGACAGGACAGGTGTGTGTGTGTGTGTGTGTGTGTGTGTGTGTGTGTTTGCACGCATGCGTGTGCGTGTGTATGTGTGCACATGTGTGTGTGTGTGTGTGTGTGTGTGTGTGTGTGTGTGTGTGTGTGTGTGCATGTGTGTGTGTGTGTGTGTGTGTGTGTGTGTGTGTGTGTGTGTGTGTGTGTGTGTGTGTGTGTGTGTGTGTGTGTGTGTGTGTGTGTATGGTATGTGGGTGGTATGTGTATGGTATGTGTGTGTGTGTACACGTGTGTCAATGTGTATTGCAGGGTTGGGTGGGCTAGTAGAGAAGGGTAGATGTGTGCGTGCGTGCGTGTGTGTGTGTGTGTGTGTGTATGTATGTATGTATGTGTACACATGTGTCAATGTGTATTGCAGGGTTGGGGTGGGGCTAGTAGAGAAGAGTAGATGTATACGGACATGTACATGAGATATGTAGGTGTGCATGTACATGCACCAAAGCAAACTTATCAAAAAGGCATTCTGCGCCTGTATATGGCGAAATTGAGCATTGAAGCATATGTTTTTTATTTTCTCACTGGCATGTACACATTTAGTCCATTCAATAACCAAAAAATGAGGAAGATTGTAAATCAGGTTCTTGATGAAATACCCGTCCGCTATACATCACAAATCCTGTACAAATTTGACAATTTAGTGAAATTGTCATCGCCTATATCTCAAAAGTTAGCATTGAGACCCCGTTTTTTTAACTCGCCATTTGCATACACTACCTAAGCGCAACCACCCACCAAATTTTCAGAGCAATCGTTAATTTTTTTGAAATAGGCGTGAGCCACCTTAACGATGGCTTCATTTCTTACTACTATAGTTTCCCGAAATTCCAGAAGCACTGTGCTAATCCCTGAATGGTCTGTACAATTGATACTCTACTGCTTTAGGTGTGTGCATCGAGGTGCACAATCCATTTCACAGCACACCATGATCCAATTGACAAGCTGCTCAACAAAATAGAAAATGGGGGCAATGTGACAGAAGAAACCAATGACGCAGGCCCAAAAATGGCAGCAGATGAACTCAGTGACTCGGAGGAGCGTCAGCTTGACGACCAATGGGAACGTGTCGACCGATTGGAACTTGACGACCGATGGTCGATTTTTCAAGAGATGGTGAGTTTTGTGTCAATGGACCAGACATGATGTGTGAGATTTGTTAGTGTATGCACTTGTTCTCACTGATTCTGTCGTGACTATGACATCACAACTCCGCGTTACACTCGCTATTACATGTGGACGTCGTGCGGACGTCTTGCTGCACGCAGAGCGTGCGCAGCGAGGGAGTGGCTCCTTGCTCCGGACACCTTTGGGTTTTTGTTTTGAACTGGATGATGACGAAACTAGTAATACTATTGGACATACCGGCCTTACTACAACTCAACGACGCAAAGCAACAGACCACCCAACTTGGGAGGCTCAAGTTTATGTAATAAACATAGTAACTTTCGGCATTCTTTGTTGCCGTGATGCATAGCTCGTGCTCTTCTTCGTTGCGCTTTCCTTCCCCTCTTGGACCTTTCCGAACCTGAGCCTTCCAAGTTGGAAGGTTGTTGGTTTGCGCCTTGGAGAAGTGTTGGAGCTAGGTGTCAGGTCGCCGAATGTCTCAGTACTCCTTGTCAGTTTTGTGCCATTTTGTCGCACTCGCTGACTGTATAAGATCTGGTTACGTTGATGGACAGTTAGTCATAACTCGTAACATTTTGTCCTTCAAAGGAACAGTAGGGGAAGTGAACTGCCTGAAAAGAGAAAAAATCGCCAGACCCACCAGGACTCGAACCTGGAACCTTGCTTGTCATGAGCAATGCTCTAACCACTGAGCTATGGGACCGGGCTGAACCTAGAAGGCGCTGACAAGACCCAAGTGCCATCAGTATGTGTGGCACGTGTTGTGAGCTGCCTTTGGAGTGAAAACCTTGTAAGCGCCTTCTAGGTTCAGCCCGGTCCCATAGCTCAGTGGTTAGAGCATTGCTCATGACAAGCAAGGTCCCGGGTTCGAGTCCTGGTGGGTCTGGCGATTTTTACTTCTTTTCAGGCAGTTCACTTCCCCTACTGTTCCTTTGAATTATTATTATTATTATTATTATAGACAACACCTCATAGCATGAAAAGAAAATCAGCCAGTACGGGAGATGTGGGTGTTAACCAACCATGGTGAATAAAATAATTAAAGAAGAAAAGTAATGGTCAAGACGGAGAAGCATGGGAGGGACAGGTGATGGTGAATCTAGTGAGCAGATTCAAATGCGTCCAGGGTACTGGCATTGCGCGTAGTAGCGGGCAGCGCAAGCCAAGCAGAGTAGGCAACAAAGAGTGGAGAGTGTACAAGGGAGGACGTTTTAGCCAAGGGGAGGGCAACAGAGTATCTTGTCTGGGGGCCATCTGTGGTACGTGATTCGGAACCAGTTGTACACGCTAAGATGAGGAGGATGTAGAGCTAGTTTGAATTTGGGAACTAAAGTGCAAATTAACTTTTGGCGGTGGGTTGACAGTGGGCAAGCATTTGCAAGGGCATGCAAGGAAGCAGAAGAGTAGAGAGGGGGTAGTCAAAACAGGATACGAAGAAGTTTCCTACGGTGGATTTCGAGACGCTCAGCGAGAACCGAGGACAAGCCACACCACCTAACAGCAGCGTACATAAAAAGAGGCAGGATATACCATTTGTAAAACAAAATTTTGCATTTGACAGGAAGGTGGAAACAATGGGGACGTATAACACCTAGAGCAGAGCTTAAACAGCTGCAAAGAGCATCAACATGGAAAGACCAAGAGAGACGATCATCAAACATTATTCCCAGGTGTTTATGGTTGGAAACAACCTTTATGGGTTCTGGGAAATCAGGACGGTGTAAAAGTGACATGGATGAGATTGGGGGAAGGAACATTATTTCGGTTTTAGTCAGGTTGTGTCTAAGTCGCCATGTTTGCATCCAGCGTAGGACACTGCATATCTGAGCCGACACTCGAGGTACAAGAGCCGCTGAGGACGAGGATGCTGACAGTAGGGTTGTATCATCAGCAAATAACGAGACACCTGGGTCTATAGAGGGTAAGTCATTTACGTATGCTAAGAATAAAAGAGGTCCAAGTATGGAGCCTTGGGGAACTCCAGAAGACACTGGTAGGGGATCAGAGTTGATGGAGAGGGCAGAAACAAATTGTGATCGGTTGCTTAGATATGACTCCAGCCAGGACAGAGCAGGGCCAGACACACCAAAGACAATATGTCGCTTGGCAAGGAGGCCACGATGCCAGACAGTATCAAAGGCCTTTTGCCAAGTCAAAAAAACAGAGAGCAATATGGTGTCGAGCATCACGAAAGGTGGCAATGTCTCGTACTAGACGAGCTAGTTGGTCAGAGGTTGAGTCGTTGCGGCGAAAGCCAGATTGGGAAGGGCTAAGGCATGGTGAAATGTGGCAATACAACTGGTCATAAAATATCTTTTCACATACGTTTGAAAGGGAGCAGAGAAGAGATATTGGACGGTAGTTTGAGGCTTGTGATCGGGAGCCTTTACACTTGTAGATGGGCGTGACCTTAGCGATCTTCCAACGATCAGGAAATACGCCGGAGGAGTAGGAAAGGTTCAATATAAGGCACAGTGGGTACGCCAGAGATGGAGCCAGAACTTTGAGAGCTTCATTTGGTAGGGCATCAGGACCAGGGCTTTTGTTGCTTTTTAGTCTTTTTAGATAGTTGCGAACAGATGATGTGGTGGTATGTACAGAGCGCAGATCAGAAGACACAGTCGCAGAGCGTTGCAGAGGTGGTATTGGAGAGGAATGGTCGTCTGGAATACCAGCTGATGTGAATTGCGTATTGAGAGTATTAGCTACTTTGGTTTCTTCAGATGCGGCGAACTGCTAGAAGCACCTACCACGCGCGGCTGTTTGACATTCGAGTCAGGGATGCTCCCTGTGCCGCGTCTACCACGCTCAAAGACAGACCCGTCCGGGGGAATGTTTGACGGTGCTGATCAGGCCAGCGGTGCCGCCATACTGCGCTGTGAGAGCCATGCTCACCTACCTCACTGCAACCTCCTCCGCTCGTCCAGGCAGTGTTGTGTTCATCCTGGCCAACGGACAACGCCTCAACCGCAGCACCTTTACAGCCCACGTACGCACACTGCTTAGCACCAGCGGCGTGACAAACTGGCAGGACTATGCAGGCCATAGCTTCCACATCGGGGCCGCTACCACTGCTGCCCTTGCTGGCGTCCCCGACCACCAGATCCGCTCCTCGGGGCGGTGGCGCAGTGCTGCATGCCTACGCTACATCCGGACACCACCATCATCGGCCCGAACGCTGGCCAGCAAACTATCCTCAGTATGACCATTCCACTGACACCGATGTTTCTCGATTCACACACTTCCCTCATAATGAACTATGCTATGCTGCACTGCAATACTGTTGTGTATGGGCATGTACTGGCGGTATGGCGAGTCGCTCATAACTGGTCTGCCTTCCCATTGCGGCAGTATGGCCTTATGGTCCTGCCTTTCCATTGCGGCAATCACAGCCTCCGGGCTTCTGCCTTCCTGCGGCAATCACAGCCTCCGGGCTTCTGCCTTTCTGCGGCATTCGCACCCTCACGGGCTCTTGCCTACCTTGCGGCAAAGACCAACCAGTTCCTTGTCACCGTACTTGCCCAACACAACCTAGCCTTATTTGTGGGGCGTATGCCTGTCTGCATGCCGTCTGTGTGCGTGGAATGCTAAAATTAAAAAAAAGAGGACCACACGTTTACAAGTTATCCGTTTTGTCCAACACTAACGATTATAAGATCGGCATGGCACTGGGAGGAACCTGAGAACAACCTGTCGTCATGCTGCTCCACACAATGTTCCGTGTTTTAAGATACAGAGACTGAAAAACTGCCGTTTTGTTTACAAGCCAAGTACCAGAATCGAAAGCTGTTGCTTGACGACAACGCCAAAAGGGCAAGAAACTACCAGGACAAACTGATGGAAAAGCGGAAACTGTCACAGTACTTGAGGAGCGAAGATATTAAACCCAATAAGCTAGGCTTTACTGCATCGTGACAGCCCACATTTTCGCGATATTTTGCCAGCTATGGAAAGGGGGTAATTTCCCTTATCTTGTCTGTGGTTTGTGGGTGAGTTTTGCTTCTCTAGTTTTCGTTTATCAATATTTTCTTGAATTTGTGTATCACTCGATCCATATGCTTTTATTTACGTTTTCTCTCCAGCCTCCTTCCATAGTGTCTCTGCTGCACATTGCTGCAATGGTAGGAGAAGATCCATTCATTTGCGAGCTACTGATTGGGCATGGTGTGGATGTTGATGTCACGCTTAAGCCTGAGGTAGGTGTGAACTTGGTTGTCTTTGTCCTGTTCTTTGTGGCCATGATTGTATAATTTAGAAACTTCTCTGGTAGCATGAAGTATTTGATACTTGCTGTGAGATTAGCACAGATAGAATAACTCTTTACTTTCAATAAAGGTTGTGTCTGTGCCACTAATCCTAGTTGTAGTCGACCCCTTGAGTTCCAAATTAGGGACACAAGATTTTGATTTATAAAACTGGTAGAATATGGTACTTCCTCCGGAAACAAAAACTTTGTGACTTTTATAGAAAAGAAAAAGGACCAAGGAACTACAAGTTACGCTATAATGTGCACTAAAACCACCAGTTACTAAACAATCAGTTCATGCATTCATTCCTGCACACCTGATGAGCCATCCTTATCTGTACGGCGAAACGATCGTCGCGTGAAACTGCTGCTTGTAATACTGCTGATTATTGCCCATCTAAATTGTCATCGTCGAAGTACAGTGCTCCTTTACTGAGGCGTTCAGTTTAGCATGATTCTTGTTCGCATAGCTTCCAAATTTAACTGATCTTCGCATTTTTGAGCCACACAAGTTGTGTGGAATGTTGCTTTGCGTCCTTGAATCGTGGTTTGACCGTAGTGTCGAAGGGTCTTGCCGGTATCGTCATCGACATGCATATACATCCGCCAACGTCCTTCACAGCTGAGACTTTCCGCTCGTGCTTGTCTTGGTCGCGCTCACCTTCCCCTCCCATGTTATCATGTAACTTAGAACCTTCCAAGTTGGAAGGCTCTTGGAGTGCGCATCCAAGATGTGCTAGAGCTGATAGCCAGTTAGTTGCAAAACGTCAGTACCGTCGGGCAGTGTCATGCAATGTTATCGCATGAACTGATTGTTTAGTAACTGATGGGGTTAGTGGACATTATAGCATAACTTGTCGTTCCTTGGTCCTTTTTTCTTTTCTCTAAAATGTATCCTTGGCTCTCCATCCGAGTTCATTTTTCGTGACTTTTTCACTAATTTTCACCGCTGTTCTGTTGCTCTCTCTCTCTCTCTCTCTCTCTCTCTCTCTCTCTCTCTCTCTCTCTCTCTCTCTCTCTCTCTCTCTCTCTCCCTCCCTCCCTCCCTCCCTCCCTCCCTCCCTCTCTCTCTCTCTCTCTCTCTCTCTCTCTCTCTCTCTCTCTCTCTCTCTCTGTTTTTGTCGGCCTGAAACACTGACATTTCGGAACCGTAGGAAAGCATGATTCATATTCTGGAGAGCCAACAGTCGTCACAAAGCAAGGTTTTCGACGCTGCAAATAAAGCGAAGCGAATATGTGTTTTCATTTTCGTCCACCCGGCGCAATGCGAACAAAGGCATTGCGCTCGCTGCTCGTCGTTGCTATTTTTTAGTTCAGAACTTGAAAGAGCAGGACAATGGCACCGAGGAGCAAGAAGAGTGGAAAAGGAATCGCATTAGCAGCTAGCGTTTTGAAATCTTCGCCATCCCCGTAACGCCTATCAAAACTCCAAACACAGAGATATGACAATCGTCACTTCACACAGCAGAGCAATGAACAAGTTCAAAATCGAAGTCTTCGTTCAGCCACTGCAGAAACCAGACCTCAACCTGGATGATCTCGCCTTTTCCAGCAGCCTCCACGATGTGTCCTTGGTCGCAAAGGAGAACAAGCGAGATCTGATCGAAGCAGTCGCAAAGTGCTCATTCGAAGAAAGTGTGAAATGTTTGGCTTTGCCTGAGTTTCTTGTTCCGGGGCATGCTCGAGAGCGGAGGCGGTAAGGAATACCAGCATCGCGTCGATGGACTGGCCACTTCGGATGGTTTCAGCGGTGATGAATCGAGCGATAGCGATCCAAACTGAGTCTCTTTTCCCATTAATGGATCTTGTGGACATTGTAAATATGTCCACTGAAAGTGTTGAATTTAAAAAGAGAGGACCATAAGCGTACAAGTTATCCATTTTGTCCAACACTAAAGATTATAAGCAGGATACTGTTGAGTCAAAATGTGAAACAATTAGCACAAAACTGACTGATGCAGCTAAGCATCAGGTCGTTGAATGTCAGTATCACATCAGTCAGTTTTGTGGAAATTGTTGCACATTTTGGCTCAACAGTATCCTGCTTACACAGAGGCAGGCAGTGTAGTATCTTCTTTTTGCTTCTCTTCTTTAATTCTTGGCTCTCCATCTGAGTTGAAAGTGTTGAAGTGTTTCTCTTCGGCGCACCCATCCTTAGACCGGGATGCGTCGTTTTCCAAGTTCACAAGTGGGAGTACGATATGCAATCGTATGAAAAGAGACAGCACGCTGGAAGTCCTGATTTCCCCTGTACAGCCAGGGAAGCAGAGGAGAGCGACTACAAGAAATGTCCCGGGCTCATCGTGCGTGTGACCATGCCGCAGGGAGATGTCCCGCACACCTGTCGAGGAGCAGCCAGTCTGGTCTAATAGAACACTTTTGTTGAGCACAGTAACTCCTTGAAAGGTCATGTAAAAATTCACGAAGTTTTTTTTCAGGAGGAAGTAGACCTACACCCAAACACGTAGCCCGCATGGAGCACGGGGGTGTGGGGGGGGGGGGACATGTGTAATAGGTGTATTTATACAAAGACGTACATACTCACTACTCGTATTTCCCGCTAGTTCCCCTTAGCAATGAGAGCCACTCACGTGTAGAAGAGTGCATGCGCCAGTGGTTCTCTAGAGTTGAGTTGTTGTTGTCCTGTTCTCCTTCACTCTTGTCTACTCTCTTGTGGAAATACTTATCAGTCCATATTCAATACTATAAACCCCTGTGTTCTGGAAGAATGAGGGGACTTCGTTTAGCCGGGAACACTGGTGGCAGCGGAAAACGTCCACGTCTACATCGCTGGCGGAGTGTGTACGCCTTCGGAGATCGTTTGCTACGAAGAACCACGGAGGCCCACGCAAGTGAACTAAGTGTTGTTTTTTCACGGCTGAGCGTAGCGAAAGAGTGTAAAAAACGTATTTTTCACTCACCATTTTTCTGTCGTGCTCTTCTGCTCTTCCACTGCGCAACTCTCCCCCACCTGCCATCGTGGTCTTGTATTCCTCGTGTAGCATGGAGTTTTTCCCGCCCTCCCTCCCTTGGGTCCCGTACGTTTTTGGGCTTCTATTGGGTGCTGTTTTACTGGCTTTCCATGGCATGCTTTGTTTTTTGTGTTTCTGCCCCGAGAGTCTCGGCATTTTTTGGTTGTATGATTACTCCTTTCTGCTTTTTTCTCTTCGGTTTTTTGGGTGTGACTGGCAGTGGGGCAGGTCCCATATTAGTAGAAGGGTTTTTGGCCGCAAGGCGAGTTTTTCCCCCCAGCCCGGTTGAGCGGTCGTGGCTGGAAATTTAGGGAGTCGGGTTTTCAGGCGCTCCCCTACTGCCCAGTCACCCACGCCATGACATTGCTCTGCTCGTGTCTTGCACTGACATATCTCTTGCTGGCCGCCTGCTCTTTATTACTTCTGGCCTAGTTTTTGGCTAGCGTGTGGCTGCGAGTGTGGTGTGACGGTATACTGAGTACATTCTGTGAGTACATTCTGGTAGACCACTACCCCATGTACAACCCGGTTGCTATATGAGTCAAAACTACCATATCCTCATCCACTCTCTTCGTCGATTTTTCCTCTCTGCATTGTGTTTCTTTCTGCTCGTCGTTTTTTTGTTGCATGAATTGTTTACAGTCCATAGGTCACGCATTGGCGCCAACCTGTCTGGCCAAACATTTTTTCAGAATATTTTCTGTGTCCGTGTTTTGTGCATGACTGCATACTGACTGCTGTCCGTAGAGTAGTTGCCCATTTGGAATTGTCTGATTTGTCTCTGCCAAATTTAGTTGTTTGCCGCTACGCACGATAGTTTACGCGATTGTAGATTTAGATCGATAGTTGATCGAGGCGCTAGGCGTTGATCGAGTCCACAGGAAATTTTTGCAGATTATTTTTTTTCGAAAATTCAAAAATACAAAAACATTTTTTTCACAATGGGCCGTTCAGCGAAATCCAAGACTGCAAGACTGCCAAGAGACAGTAAAAGCTACAGACTACAGTGTTCGTACTCGTAGAGTGTAGATCTACAGTGTAGTTCTACGTTGTAGTTTCGCTGAAGCAGGTTGCGACATGTACCGTGGCATATCCGTGTTGAGTTTCACTGGCCAGCTTCACTCGCTGGCGAAGACTGGCCTCGTGCATCAGGGCTTGCTGGGGCGACTCAAGACGAACATGAAGTGCCTCGACTGCGTCGGAAAAGTTCATGTCAGGCGTGTGGGTTAGGATTTCGGTTAACATCTCGTGAGCTATACCAACAAGGCAAGCAGGTAGTAGCCGTAGCTTTTGGTCATCGTCGTCGTACCCACTCAGCTCGCATGAGTGGACGAAATGCCTCATGTATTTATTGAAATCTTAGCCATGTCTCGGGAAGCAACACTGGCTTCGGCAGTGGACGTGCACGTGCTTGTGGTGTGTCTATGTCCGGCAAGCGAAAACAATGGGACTAACCCTTGTACCGGCAAACTCTCGTGCTCTTCAGCAATGCTCATGTCGCAGCCAGCTTCAGCGAAGCTACGCTCTAGCTTTTCTTGTCTCTTGGATTTCGCTGAACGGCCCATTGTTTAAAAAAATGTTTTTGTATTTAGGAATTTTCGAAAAAAAGTCTGCAAAAATTTCTCGTGGACTCGATCGATCATCGATCTAACTCTACAATTACGTAACCTATCGTGCGTAGCGGTAAACAACTAAATTTGGCAGAGATTCCAAAATAGGCAACTACTCTACGGACACAGTGTAGACTCTACTACCCAGCTAGCAGCTATCCTAACAACAGACAGCAGTCAGTATGCAATCATGCACAAAACACAAACACAGAAAATGTTCTGAAAAATGTTTGGCCAGACAGGTTGGCGCCAATGCGTGACCTATGGACTGTAAACAATGCATGCAACGAGAAAACGACGAGCAGAAAGAAACACAAATTCAGAAAGGAAAAAAAATCGACGAAGATGAGAGTGGGTGAGGATATGGT